TTTAATATTTGTTGTTGAACCTTGTAAAACCCTCTCTTAGTATGCACCATACAATTAATTATTACTAGCCAATACTCGTAAAAAAAATATATAAAATTTTCCTTCTTGTCTACTTCAGATTTTAATTTCAAACTCCTATCAATGCATAAGGTTCGTCCGTTAAAAAGTGCCCTTCCGTTAATAGTTTAAACATAAGTGGTATAAAACTTCAACATCTCTTGAAGTATTGTTTAACACCTACTTTTTTTAAAGTGCAATACAGGAAGTCAACCCGACATAGATCAAACATTAAATCCAAAACAGAGAATCAAGAAATGAGAATCGGGTGGAGCTCAGTCTGTGTCTCTCAGTCCCCACTGAACAAATATTAAAAATACTGAATAGGACACGAGTAAAATGAGAGAATATATAATAATGGACGGGGGAGGTGTGTCCGCTGCCGTCAACGTGGCATATTTTCATATGCTAATGCAGCTGCGTTCCGTGATAAATTTTCAAAGTGAAGTGGAAAGCCTCAATGAAAATGCCATTACGATCAGCTGAGTTTGGGCTCATTAACGCGGATCAAATCTCGCCAAGAACACTGAAGAGAGGGATCAGTATCAGTCGCATTCGAACTAATTCATTAAAAGTTTAACCATCTGGCCTTGTAGCCAAGAAATACGAATAGCCCACGCATAACTTTCACACTACAGAAACTCCTCCTCCTGTGACTAGCGCCTTAATTTATAAGTATCCTACATGCTTGTAGCGCTGGGATAAAAACAATCAAATAAATAAAAAGAAAGGGAACCGAATCAAGTAGAGTTCTGTGTGTTAATGCGGTGAAGATGGGGGGCTAAATAAAATACAAATAAAGGTACAGGCGGCAAACAAAATTAAAAAATTAGAATTCGATTTTGAACTTGAACTTTATCTCTACTTCTTCTCAAATTTTTATGGACTAAAACTGATTAAGAAATGTGCGAAAATTATGTCATGATGTGATCTCATCGTGGAATTTCATTGCAAGTTGAAAATGGAATCACCCAATGATCACATAATGCATAGTTTAATGATTCAAGAGTTTTTTCTGATTTTACTCATTTTTAGAATGGTTCAAACAATTTTTAAATGCCTTCTTTTTGCATATATGTATTATAATTTAAAATCTTTATATTTTGTATCAGCAATAATGAAAAATCAACAGAAAGCGTGGGAGACTACTTCCAAATCAACCCAATCCAAAATTCCGAAACCCAAATCGAACTCATTTTTACTTGGGTGGTCTCTTACTTATCGATGTATTTTTCGGTCAGCATCTTAAACTTCTTCGATAGACAATCAAAGCCAAGCCGAGGCCAAAAAGCAAATAAACAGCGGAAGAGAAAGACGACCACAACGCAAAAAGACCTGCAGTTTTGAAGACACAACAATCTATATTACAGCAATTCAGAGTTCCGAGCCATCAGTTCATCTAAATCCCATCCAGTTCCAAGTGCAGCTCAACTTTGTGATGAGTCGTAAAAGAAGAAAAAAAGAAAACAAGCAAAAGATACAGAGATTCAAAACAATCTACAAAGTGGGCACACATCTGGCTAATGTGAGGGCAGCTGTCTGTCAATCGGACAGTCGAAGTGGGAATAAGAAACGAAATGAGAATGAATCCGACTCTGAATCAGCTTGGTCCTTTCCCGGTTCCCTTTTGTTATTCCGACAGCAGATGAAAAACTATGGAGGTGGAGGGTACACCAGCACCCAGCTGAAGTAACAGAAAGATTGCAGTTGCCATAACCCGCAACGAAAGTCCCAGGCGTCGTGAATGTGTTGACGCAGGCACAAAAGGTTGACAATCCGCCCGAGATATTCAAAATGCATATACGTATAAGCAATCTGCATAAAATGCAAGCTATATATAGAACAATCTCTGAACGGATGGTGCAGTCTCTTAAATAAAAAAGCAGGAAAGATTAAGAAAGCCTTTTTTCATTTACAAAATGGAAAATTTAAGAGGTAAAGCTTTGGTGGTTTACAGGTTTTGTCTAGGACTTTCAAAATATTTATGTGCATAAGGCTTTTGATTTCCGAACATTTTTTTTTAATTATTAATTATTATTTCTTTCTATTTTATTCTTTGACGAGATTTTGGAAACTAAAAGTTGCACTGTTAACTTTATGAACTTTAAATATTTTATATTTATTAACAATCATTAATTCCAACCACAAAAGCCGCTGTTTTAATTTTTGTGTCGTAAACATAATGTCCAACCCTCGCACTGGTTTCACAATTATAGGAACATAAATAATGGGATGGGGCAATTTTTGAGTAGTTTCGAAGGGTATATAGCAATTGTTTTCTTTTCTCTATACATGGACCACATTTCTCGCAAAGACATCATTTGCGTTCTCCCATTTCAAGTCCCAGGCCGCGTTTAATTTTAGCCCAACTTATGGATTTATCTAGCCGATGCGGGTCCCTCACACGACATATATGTTCTCCTCCCTGTAGGGCACCCTCACCCATAGATATATATGCGTATATAGAGATGGGGTTATGCCTGGTATGTGATGTTATTGTCCACGTCCGCCACTAGTTGAAGGTTGAATTGATCATCGCCGTCGTCAGCGTTATAATCAATGCAATGAGTGTCGTGCTGGCCTGACTTAAGTTGGATTAGATTGAATTTAAGGGAACTGGATGAGTTCCAGAATAAATAGATAGCTTTGTCTTGATAACGACTAGATGAAGGACTCTCTGCTTATGAGTCCTTATATCATCCCAACGTAATCCAAAGTGATGTAAATCTGCTACTTTCCCGTTCCTAATCCCTTGCTTTGCCGGCTAAAGCTAAAAACTAGACCCCCCGAAGCCAAGGCCCAGCCCCACCAATTAGCCGTCCATTGCAGACTTACACTGGGAGAACAAATTCCAGTCATGGTAACTTAAAAGTAGGATTTGAAGCTAAATAAAGTTTATTTTTAAAGCAACAATGTAGTTAAGATCTTAAATGGACTTAATAAAGATTTTTAAACATCCATTTGTGATATACTTGAATTTAGATATAGTAATGACAAATTCTGTAATATGTTCGAGAACGGGTTTCAGAATCTATTAAACAAATTCAAGTAATTTATTTAAGTGAGTGGTTGACTTTTGCTGACGCGCGTAAAAATTACGTCCCAAGTACTATCCCCTCCTCCGCCCATGGCAAACGTGGGGAGCTACAGTGCAGCCTGACCTACATCCACGACCAACTGCAACAACACAAAATCCGAAAAAGAAAAACCGAAGCCATAGCTTTGCTAGCTGACCTGAATTTTCGCACGCACACAATTTTCGCGATGGAAGCCGGCATTTCCCAGCATCACTGGGAAACGGGAAAATAGAGATGACATGTCTGCTAATTTTAATCAAATTTTTCCCGCTTGGATTTCGTTTCGTGGTTGAGTTTTTTGGAGGAAACCCAGACAACGAGCTAGCAATTTGCTTACGTTGATGGGAATCCGGTTAAAAGGGCGTCCTTCTGCCCGCTTCGCGCCGCCCCGCATTCTTTTGAAAAAAGTAATATCTTTAAAGTAGTGAAGATGCGAGGGAGATAAGGATGATGATGATGATGATCGCCTGGTCAGGCGGAGAAACAAAGAAAAAATAAGGGGGAAACACAAGGGAAAGGAAGCCGGAAGTGTGCAGCTGCTGCTCACCTCCTTTGTCTACCGCCCTTTCCTTACCAGAGGCGTCACATGGAGCGCACATGGCAGGAACGAAATGGAAACGAAAAGGCTGCAGAAGTGGAGCTCTCTCACAAGAGAGCCTACCAGAAGTATTCTCAGAGAGTTTGACAAGTATCCGGAGACTCCACCGGGTACAAATTGGAAATGAAACGACTAGAGGCGGGGCAAAATAAGCAAGAGGAAGAAAAGTAGAAATTGAAATTTATCCACGCGCTTTTCTCGCATTTGTGCTCCTTTTTGTATCCTATCCTATATCCTATATGCAATTGCAAGCGGAACAAACCCCGGGGGCAGGTAAAAAACTTGGCGGAAAAGAGCCAATACACAGAGGGGAAAGTCCAAAGAAAGGAAACAATAGACACACAAAATTCCAAAATAGATACCGAACTCAAACCCAAAACTCGAATCTCGAGTGGAAATGCTCGAGTTCCGCTTAAGTGGTACTTGGGTTTTGCGATTGCTGTCGGAATAGAAGCTGATTGGAATGCGCTCATTATGCATTAGGTGCTCCGAATTTGTTTACAACTCCAAGCAAAATGTCTGGGCATGTTTTTCGAGTGGCGCTGGTGTTTATTCAATTAGGCTCAAATATCTAGCTGCATTCCAAGTAGTATTAATTCATTCCCGTTTTTTGTATATTAATCCTCTACCTTACTAGAAGATGACAGCAGTAAAACCTCCTTTCAATTAAAACCCGAACGGCTAATGCCAAACTCATGAATAAATATTAGCATATTAATTATTTTCAAGCTTTATTATTATAAAATCTTTTGTATTACTTGGGTTTTTGGTATTACTGTAGTTATCGTATGTTAAGTGCCCTACGCATGACTCATTTAAGGCGCTTCCACTTCCCGCCCTCTTTATCCAAATGGGTTTGCCCCCTTTTGTTGTAAAAGTTAGTGTTACCGGCAAAGGTACTACACGGAAAGGAAAAAAATTCAAACTCCGCTGGAGCCTGAGTTCAAATCCCACTTCTGAATTTTTTTAACTTAAAATAATTTTTAGGACGAAATGAGTTTTAGCAGTCCGAGTTTAAGTAACATCCCCGAGAGGTATTTTTTTTTGGCTTACTACTTATTTGCTATTAATAACAAGGGTCAGGGTTCAAGTCCCACCTTTAAAATATTATGCATTTTCAGTTCAGAGCATATGCCAAATTAAGTACCGAATCTTTTTCAGTTAAATATTTTCTACAAAAGTATATATATCTTCTTCTGGGAATTTATCATAAATATAAAGTATGTACTAAACGATTTTGTTCTCCGTGTATTGGGAATAGTACTCACCTCGAGGTAAACATCGCTGTCCGGATTGAAGGTGTCGTTAACCCGACGGAATGTGTAATTCACATGCGGAATAGAGTGCAGGATTTTGACGAGAATGCTCGGCTGTTCCATTTTTGTAAGGCTGTTTCAGTTGTTGTTGCTAGTTGCAGTTGTAGTTGTGCGGCTGCCTTAAACAACACACACACACATGCACACTCGTTGTTCAACAAAGGAAATTTAAATCCTCTCTCTATTTCTATTTTGTTGCTTTCGCTGCTGCTCTTGTTGTCGTTGTTGAGGGGGAGGGCTCTCTTGGTGGGAGTTTCTGTTTCTCTCAGTGTGGTATTGTGTCTGTCAGTGAGCGTGCGTCCGTGTGTATGTGTGTGTCTGCCAGCGAAGGACGTCGCTGCTTTTGACGTCACAAAACGCCACCGCTGCAAGCGAGAGAACAAGGACCGTTAGAAAGAGAGTGAGAGAGCGTTTGTGTGTGCGGGGGAGAGTCCTGGCAAAAAAAACCGAAAAAAACAGCAACATCAACGCATGCTCTCACTCCTTCTCTCTCACTCCCCCCTTAGTTTTTAGCGCGTCCTGCTCGTTGCTCTAAATTTTCACTTTCACTTTTCACACACCCAAAGAAAATATAGAAGAAAATCTTAAAACAAAAAAACCACACTTGTAAACACTGCCCGCGGTTTGATTTGAGTAGGTAAAAAAAATTTGTTTAATTTAATGTAGTACTATTTTGTATACTAGTAGCTCGGTAAGACGCGCGGTTTACATCGGAATATTCCTGCTAGTTTGGCCAACTTGTAGTTCACATTGTTGTCACACCGCGATCTCGAGATTTAGCTTTATTATATAGCCGAAAGTCGGGCGTTCAGGGCGTAGTTTCATTTACCGTTTCGTGTCGAGCCGCAAGCCGTCTCGTTTCCGGTTCGTTCCGCTTCGCAGCCTCTGTGCTCCTTTTCTTCCTTTTCTTTCACTTCAGCCGTCTGAGGTGGTCAAAAAAAAACTATATCAGAACATCACCATCCTTATCGACGGGGGCTACCCCAGCAAGCCAAATATCATCTGGGTATATTATGATATATGTATTTCCTGCCCGACGATTGCAGAAACCTATGTTTTCGAGTTGAAAATTATTCGAGTTTCGGTTTGACTACTCTTCGATGACAACCGACGCGCGGTTGAAAGTGCAATGTTTACGAGTTGAAAATTGTCCGTTTCCTTCGACTCTATTCTGCGATGACACGAGTAGGGATGTGAAAAATATATCAAAATATCGGCATAAAATATCGATAAACAGGCAGAGGTGGGAAAAAAAGTGCAATTTAGCTATTTATCCGCCAGGTTTTGAGTTTTTGAATGCACGCCAAAAACATTCCGTCATTTAACTGATTTTTTCTTGGTAAAAAACTCTAGAATACGTTTTGGAACTTGAGTTATTTAATAATCTATTAAGTCGTTTTTCCTCACAGAAAAAACAAAATTGGCTTCCGAGGCGATGGCACTTTTAAATACCCAACAAACACTTAAATAGTTGGGGTGGGATGCAAAAAAAGGACAGTTGTGGAATAGATATAACCCGAGAAGTAAACAAGATAGCAGATTTATTTGCCCCCAACTTAAACAACTGCCGAAGTGCAAATGCAAGCGAGATTGTGTTTTCCAGCTACTTCTGCTGATTTATCTGTTTTTTTAATGTGTGCCAGTTGTCTTCCTCTTTTGTGTTTTTTCTGTATTTTTATCAAAGTCAAGCAAAACGAGTTTGCCTTTAAGTGGAGGTAAAAACAATGGCGACAGCCACTAACAAGAATAACCACTAAATGGTGGGGCGATTTCAGCGGGGGTGGTGCACGACACCCAGCTTCATCTGCTTGCAAATGTTACGTTGGATAATAATATTACAAAAAAATAATTCAAATTATTTAAGCTAGGTTTAAGCTTTAGCTTTATAAATATAAATTAAATATAACATTAAATATTTTAAGACGCAAAAAAAATGTTTAATTCCTTAAAAAATGCCCCTAAAGTAAATATTAAAATTCATACAATTTCAACCCCGTGTCAAATATACCCCGACGGCGACGATGGATTTTTTATCTTCGTGGAAATATGATTATTTATAATAAATATTTGTTTAATAGCGCCGACTTGTGTTGTTATTGCTTCTTCGGTTTTTTGTTGCATTTTATCGTCAAAAGACAAACACACACAGTCACTCTTATCAATTCACACACATGTGTGGTGAGTAAATAACGAAACTTCAAGTCGTTAACAATCAAAGACATCGCCTCATCGAAATTTAACTAAACTTGAACTGTTTCAAAGAAAACTCTTCATTTATAAAAAAAAAAAAGTAAATACATGCATTCAGAGAAAAAACGCACTACCACTTTCACAAGTCGAGCACACAGACAATCGGCGGCTTTTACGGTTCACCCTTTAATCGAATCCTTAGCCCTCGAACAGCTCCGTTTCTTAAGTCCCCGATCCACCGCACAAATCGGGTTTGTTTTACATGTTCATTTAGCAAAAACTTCTGTGACAAAAACCATAAAACACGGGAAAACTCAGTTTTTTTAGAGCTGGCACAAAAACTGAGGACTATTCGATAGTGTCCGGGGCTGCCAGACATTTCGACAACAATCGAATAATCGCTATTGTAGCCCTGGGTTTGGTTTGGCTTCCTGCTAAATAGCAGTTACTCGATCCAAAAATATTTTATTTGGCACAAAGGTAAATTTAGTTGCGGCCAAAAAATAGTAGCGGGGAAATATAAAATGCTTAAAAGCTTTAAAGTTGCTTGTACAATATTTTCAATTTCCATTTCGAAATTTTCAAAAAGAATAGCGAAATATTGGAACTGTTTTAATGTTCGCTAATATTTGGTTAATAATATATTTTGTTTTTTATCCCAGTGCTGCAAGCGTAAGCTTATTACTATCGCACTAGTCACAATAATAATAATGGAATATTACTAAGCAATACATTTCTTAAGTTTTTGTTTTTTATACTGATAACGTGGTACATACTGTTTTGCATTAAATTCCTTAAAATATTTTTGCAAGTAACTAAAAGTATTTTTGTATAAAAAAAATAATTCAATAAATTCCATAATTTCAACATTAAAATATGTAATATCAGTATGTGTGACGAAAAATTATTTTAAATTTGACTAGCGGCTGTTTCAAACGTTTTGTTAACAAAAAAACCAGGTCATAAAAAGATTAAATAGACCGGACAAACCATACACACTAAATTAGAAAATTACCCAAAAATCTTAAAAATATTATAACTTCTAAAAATTGTCCGATTGCAATGGTGTTCTCCCGGTGCAATTTATCACTAGGTGGATTTCCTACCAAAGTAATAATTACAATACTTTGAATATTTAAAAACTAAATGTAAAAAATGATTAAATTTCGATCTATGATTGGTTTGGATTTGACTTATCTGCTCTTAAAAAATCTTGCAGTTTGCGCTTGAACAGCTCCAAAGCCTCCTTTTCCAGTACTCGCCTGCACAATGTGGCGGGAAATCCATTCTGGTAGCTTTCTCTGTATCCTTGGATTCGCAAAGCGTTCATCTAGCAGATAAACACAAGCGTAGTCATTGATGTGACGAACTGCTCGTCCAATGCACTGGTTGACAGCCTTCAAGCAAAGATTCTCATAGAATTCATTGCCGCATCCAAAACCAAGCTTTTCATCTAGGTGTCGCATTCGCTGCTGCAGTTCCGGCGACTGGCGATTGGGATATGGTAGACCCACTACCAGGACTGCCCGGCCAAGATCGTCTGCAAAGTTTAGGCCCTCGGAGAGCTTTCCTCCGACGACACTCAAGAGCAGGGCTCCTCCGGAGCCAGATGATACCTTAATAGCTGCGGCATACTTCTCCAAGAGCTGGTCCGCTGAGCCCGAGACCTCCCTGAAAACGCTTTTCTTGCGCGCAATCCTCTCAAGCGCACTGGACTGCTCTAAATGTTTGTAAACCTTATCCAAATACTCGTAGGATGGCAAAAAGCAAACCACACCGCCTGGTATCACTTGGCAGAGATTCTGGAGGATCATTGACAGCTCCTGGAGCTGCAGTGGAAAATTACGAAATTAAGAAGATTAAATTAATTAAGAAGCAAAAATTATAGAAGCCCACCATTTCTATACTTGCCCTCTGGGCAAATTTAAAACACAAAGGAGCACCCTTTGGACCATTGGACACAACAAAGGGCAAGACCGCATCGTCGGGCACCACATGACTGTAGAAACGCTCGACCAGGCGATCTTGGCAACTGGCAAACAGCTGCTCCTTCAGCTCCTGAGTGGGCTGCATGGTTCCGCCAGCAATCACAATCTGCAGATAAATTGAGAAATAATTAAACTCTATTTAACTTATATGTGATTGCCTTACCGCTCTAGCTTCGCCAACGATATCAGCAAATTGCTCGGCAGGATCGAGCAGTATATACTTTACAGTTCCCTCTTGAGAATCTAATAAAATCCGGCCATCCTCTGCATTGCTGGTGAGGGTTCCCAAAAATGCGAGCAATGGTCTTACGGGGGATGGAATTACTTCTAGCACAGGGATTTTTGTGGGCTCCTTCACTTTTTCCTGGAAAATTTCTAGTTTCCTCTTGACCGGCTGCTTGGGCTGCTCTTTTTGCTTTTGCTCGCTGGCCAACCTCTGGAGAATCTGACTCCTCGCCGATGACACGGGCGGCTGATTCTCACTGTGCCGCGGTTCCCTTTGCATTTTAACCGCATGTCCCTGGACCTTACGGGCAAAACGAGTGCGTGCGCAAAAATCCAAAAGCTCAGAGAGATCGATGTTAAAAAAGTCACCTTCGGCGGTTAGTTCATAGGTGCGCAGCATTCTTGAGGTGTGGAGCTGGGCCCGATCCTCATCCCGGTCGAGCATCTTAAGCAACTGGCGAACTATGAAGATAAGTTGGTTGATTTTCAAGAGATTCTTGGTGCTAAAACGTTTCTGAAAGTGCTCTTTGTAGCCAGAGATCTCCAGTTTGGCCCGCTCCAATTGCTGACGGTTGATTTCAGCGCCATGAAGCTGGGCCAAAGTGTCTAAAAGGTTATGGGCCTCATCGACGATAACGATGGATCCTTTGAGATTTATGCCCAGCTGGTTGCGGGCGGATTTCTGGAGTAGCAGCTGATATGGCAGTAGAATCAGTTGAGCCTGCTCCAAAGCGGATCTGGATGCGTAGTACGAGCAGGCACCGCAGGCGACTCCCTCGCTGGCCAGCTCTTCAATGTCCATCGGTTCAGTGAGAGCCAAGTCTCGAAGGGATTCCACCAAAGAAGGCGCTTTAAATGGACACCTACTGCCCGCACCTGCAGTCAGTCTACTTTTCTTGCTGGGATTGGGCTGTGCCTTTTGGCTAGCCATCTCAAGGCAACGCTCGTTCATGAGTCCCACTTGCCGGAGGCTGCGCACCTGGGGATTCCCACACAATTGCTGCCGGGAGCCCAGAGAAATGCACCTCACCGACTGGGCATGCGGTGTCTTACGCAGTTCCGCCACGATTTGAGTCAACTGGGAGTGGGTGCGACTGCAGAAAAAGATCTGCACTGGCCGATAGCGATCTTCGCTGGTTCCCTGGGGTCCATCTGCAGTTTCGTGCTCTGAATCCGAGTCGGAGTTAGATTCCAGGTCCTTATCAAGGTCCTCTGGCTTGGGTGGGTGCTCCTCCCGCCTTTGCTTTTTATGGATCTTTGCCCGCTTCCTGATCTCCGCCAGTTGATGTTCCTGTTGGTCCAGCAGCCCCTGCAAGTGCTGCAGCTTGCGGAGCTCCTCCTCCTGTAGCCTGCAGTTCCCCTGACTCTCTAGCCAATCCCTGGCCTGCTTACCATCCTGTTCCAGTTTGACCACCTCTAGTTGCACCCGGCGAATCCTCGCCAGCATTTCCGATCGCACCAGATCCTCGTGCCTCGCCAGCCAGGTGAGAGCGCCACAAGTGAGTGTGAGGGATTTCCCTGTACCCGTGGGGCTCTCAAATATGCCAATCTTCCTGTTTTCGAGCACTTGGAAGACTTCCTGCATCAGCTGCTCCTGGATTCCGTATGGTGTGTAGGGGAATCCAAACTCCTGGGCGGTGGGCGTGGCCAGTGGCTGGTGGGGAGTGTATTGGGCCATTTTCCGGCTTCTTTTGAATCGATTTTACATTTCCAAAAGGAAAAGGAGCTAAATGGAGAAGTCCAAAAGACAAAACGACGCGGGTGACAGTGTTGCCAGATGAAAATGTTGCTTTCCCTTAGGGATGTCAAAAATATATCAAAATATCAATATATCGATATTTTTTGCAAAAAAAAATATATTTATATCGTGATATTTATTTAGCCAAATATCACAATATCGATATTTTATTTTTCGATATTATTTGATATTTGCATATCTTTCTCTCATCTGTGCACAAAAAAATGAAGCGTGTTAAAATTTATTTCGGTGAATTTAATAACAAAAAACTAAGTGCAAACTTTGTTTTAAAACTATTAAAACATGTGGGAATACATCAAAAATGTTATCCCACTTGAAAAACAAAAACTTTTATGTGTGGAGCTAATAAAATAAGAAATTTCATAAAACGTATTATATTGTTTATACTTTTCTAGTGCTTTTACATTAATTTTAGGGCAAAAGTCTTTGTTGTTAGCTTATTTACGCGGTTAAAATTTTGAAATTCAACTGAAAAAAAATATCAAAAGTATCTGATATATCGATGTTTTTTTGGCGCTATATTATATATCATACTGATATTTTTCTTAAAGAAAATATATCAGCGATACGATATTTTTAAAATATTTGACATCCCTACTTTCCCTCTAAAAATCTCATACAGTCGATATTTCCCCCTAAAAAATCCAGCCATCCACCAAAATTCAAAAAATCAGTTAGTTTCGAACATGTACAAGAAATAAGTAATATCTCAATATGATGTAGAAATGTTAAAATAAAAAAATCTGTGTACTCGAAAGGAGAGCCGTGTGTAAAGTTTTTTTGTTTATATGTTTGATTTTGTAGTGCTTTTTCCAAACATTTAGGTAATATAATTTGCGAAAAAAATCCCTAAACTTGCTCAATAAATATTTCTAAAAATTAGAGCGTCAAAAAACCCCAAAATCTAGCGAAAATTTATCAAAAAATAAATTGTTCGGAAAGTGATGGGGATAGTCGGGCGTTTAGCTGTCGGCCTTGATTTGCCAAAATGACAACTGAAAAACCGCAAAAAAAAAGGTTTCTTTTTGTATAAAATTCGAATCCATGTTTTCCTTCCTAAAATATCAGTATCTTGGCAGAAACATTGGAAATAATGATACAAAAACGGAGTGTCATACCTTGCTGAACTCGTAATTGAATTCCCAATCGATTGGTATTAAAACCTAGAAATTTTAAATTTTGTCAATTTTTTTGCAAAAAATCATGATGATCATGACCCCTTATCCAAAATGCGAAAATCGTAAGCTTAGGTTGTTAGCTGTTCAAAACAGTCGGCCGTTTAACTGTAGGCCTTGATTTGTCCAAATTACGACTGTTACTTGCAAAATAATGAAATTTACAATGGGCCACGTCATCGATAATGTCAATCTAAAAATATTCTCTCGGTGGGAACTTATAATTCCCAACTAGTTCTAGCTTAAAATTCATGACCTAGGTGCTATGGTAGCCGATAAATCAGTTGACCGGAAGTTGGTGTGGGTGTTGGTGGTTGTGAAGTGATTTTAGGAGATTCATAAATTGGATGGACTGGACTCCAAGATGCAGAGTATCGACCTCCTTACCAGGTATGCTCCTTAATTAGGTAAAAAGCTCCAAAAACGTTTAGTTTTGCCTAAAATTCCATATATTTCACCCTTAAATATCAAATATCAGTATTTTGGCCGAAACATTGGAAATAATGATCCAAAAACGGAGTGTCATACCTTGCTGAGCTCGTAATTGAATTGCCAAACGATTGGCATTCAAACCTAAAACTTTTCAATTTTGTCAATTTTTTGCAAAAAATTATGATGTAACCCCTTATCAAAAATTCGAAAATTGGTGAAAAATTTATTTTCCCCAAAAGTGATGGGGATCGTTAGCTTATGTTGTTAGCTGTTCAAAACAGTCGCCCGTTTAACTGCCGGCCTTTATTTGCCCAAATTACGACTGTTAATTGCAAAACTAATGAAATTTACAATGGGCCACGTCATCGATATTGTCAATCTAAAAATATGCTCTCGGTGGAAACATATAATTCCCAACTTGTTCTAGCTTAAAATGCATGACCTAGGGGCTATGGTAGCCGATAAATCAGTTGACCGGAAGTGGGTGTGGGTGTTTGTGGTTGTGAAGTGACTTCAGGAGACTCACATATTAGGATGTCATCTGGATGGAACTGGACTCCAATATGCAGTGCATCGTAATCCTGTCCAGGTATGTCCCTTAATTAGGTATTTATTTACAAAATGACTTATAAGAAATGCAAAAATTGGTCAAAAAATTAATTTTTTCCAAAAGTGATGGGGATCGTTAGCTTAGGTTGTTAGCTGTTCAAAACAGTCATTCGTTAAACTGTCAGGCTTCATTTGTCCAAATTACGACTGTTAATTGCAAAACTAATGAAATTTACAATGGGCCACGTCATCGATAATGTCAATCTAAAAAAATTCTCTCGGTGGGAACTTATAATTCCCAACTAGTTCTAGCTTAAAATTCATGACCTAGGTGCTATGGTAGCCGATAAATCAGTTGTCCGGAAGTTGGTGTGGGTGTTGGTGGTTGTGAAGTGATTTTAGGAGATTCATAAATTGGATGGACTGGACTCCAAGATGCAGAGTATCGACCTCCTTACCAGGTATGCTCCTTAAATAGGTAAAAAGTTCCAAAAACGTTTAGTTTTGCCTAAAATTCCATATATTTCACCCTTAAATATCAAATATCAGTATTTTGGCCGAAACATTGGAAATAATGATCCAAAAACGGAGTGTCATACCTTGCTGAGCTCGTAATTGAATTGCCAAACGATTGGCATTCAAACCTAAAACTTTTCAATTTTGTCAATTTTTTGCAAAAAATTATGATGTAACCCCTTATCAAAAATTCGAAAATTGGTGAAAAATTTATTTTCCCCAAAAGTGATGGGGATCGTTAGCTTATGTTGTTAGCTGTTCAAAACAGTCGCCCGTTTAACTGCCGGCCTTTATTTGCCCAAATTACGACTGTTAATTGCAAAACTAATGAAATTTACAATGGGCCACGTCATCGATATTGTCAATCTAAAAATATGCTCTCGGTGGGAACATATAATTCCCAACTTGTTCTAGCTTAAAATGCATGACCTAGGGGCTATGGTAGCCGATAAATCAGTTGACCGGAAGTGGGTGTGGGTGTTTGTGGTTGTGAAGTGACTTCAGGAGACTCACATATTAGGATGTCATCTGGATGGAACTGGACTCCAATATGCAGTGCATCGTAATCCTGTCCAGGTATGTCCCTTAATTAGGTATTTATTTACAAAATGACTTATAAGAAATGCAAAAATTGGTCAAAAAATTAATTTTTTCCAAAAGTGATGGGGATCGTTAGCTTAGGTTGTTAGCTGTTCAAAACAGTCATTCGTTAAACTGTCAGGCTTCATTTGTCCAAATTACGACTGTTAATTGCAAAACTAATGAAATTTACAATGGGCCACGTCATCGATATTGTCAATCTAAAAATATTCTCTCGGTGGGAACATATAATTCCCAACTAGTTCTAGCTTAAAATTCATGACCTAGGTGCTATGGTAGCCGATAAATCAGTTGACCGGAAGTTGGTGTGGGTGTTGGTGGTTGTGAAGTGATTTTAGGAGATTTATAAAATGGGATGTCAATGGATGGAACCGGACCCCAAGATGTAGTGCATCGACATCGAAGTTGGTGTGGGTGTTGGTGGTTGTAAAGTTATTTTGTCAAAAACTCGAATCCATATTTTTCACCCTAAAATATCAGTATTTTGGCCGAAACATTGGAAATAATGATCGAAAAGCAGAGTGTCATACCTTCCTGTGCTCGTAATTGAATTCCCAATCGATTGTCATTTAAACCAGAAACTTTTAAATTTTGTCAATTTTGCGAAATTTGAACAAAAAATAAAATGTTGGACAAGTGATGACGATCGTTAGCTTCGGTTGTTAGATGCTCGAAACAGAAGGTTAACAAAGAGAGCAAATGGTTTAAAAATGTACGCATATTACATTTTAACGATTTAAAAGTAGGGATGTCAAAAATATATCAAAATATCAATATATCGATATTTTTTGCAAAAAAAAATATATTTATATCGTGATATTTATTTAGCCAAATATCACAATATCGATATTTTATTTTTCGATATTATTTGATATTTGCATATCTTTCTCTCATCTGTGCACAAAAAAATGAAGCGTGTTAAAATTTATTTCGGTGAATTTAATAACAAAAAACTAAGTGCAAACTTTGTTTTAAAACTATTAAAACATGTGGGAATACATCAAAAATGTTATCCCACTTGAAAAACAAAAACTTTTATGTGTGGAGCTAATAAAATAAGAAATTTCATAAAACGTATTATATTGTTTATACTTTTCTAGTGCTTTTACATTAATTTTAGGGCAAAAGTCTTTGTTGTTAGCTTATTTACGCGGTTAAAATTTTGAAATTCAACTGAAAAAAAATATCAAAAGTATCTGATATATCGATGTTTTTTTGGCGCTATATTATATATCATACTGATATTTTTCTTAAAGAAAATATATCAGCGATACGATATTTTTAAAATATTTGACATCCCTACTTTCCCTCTAAAAATCTCATACAGTCGATATTTCCCCCTAAAAAATCCAGCCATCCACCAAAATTCAAAAAATCAGTTAGTTTCGAACATGTACAAGAAATAAGTAATATCTCAATATGATGTAGAAATGTTAAAATAAAAAAAATCTGTGTACTCGAAAGGAGAGCCGTGTGTAAAGTTTTTTTGTTTATATGTTTGATTTTGTAGTGCTTTTTCCAAACATTTAGGTAATATAATTTGCGAAAAAAAATCCCTAAACTTGCTCAATAAATATTTCTAAAAATTAGAGCGTCAAAAAACCCCAAAATCTAGCGAAAATTTATCAAAAAATAAATTGTTCGGAAAGTGATGGGGATAGTCGGGCGTTTAGCTGTCGGCCTTGATTTGCCAAAATGACAACTGAAAAACCGCAAAAAAAAAGGTTTCTTTTTGTATAAAATTCGAA